CCACCCAACTGGGCCTTGCACCCACAGATGAGATAACCTTGTCCCCAGGTGTAGTTACTCACATATATTCTCTTGCAGGAGTAAGCAGATCGAGAGTCCATGGATGCCTTTTAAACTTTTATTGTACAACTTGGAATAGTGGTTGTAGATAGATATGCTGGAATACCCGAAAATGCTGGTAATAGAGTAGAATCAATTCCAGGTCAAGGTCCATCTTCTTCCTCTCAATAGGACAGAAGTGTCTCCATTCCCACAGGGGTTCCAGTGTATACTCTGCTTCAGGACAGACTGTAGCCTAGACCAGTGGAGGTTCCTGTGGTGACTCCAGTGTCCCCATGACCTCTGTTAACATGGGTTAGGTCCCTGTAGTGGATCCAGCAAAATCAGATGGTGCATGGCATTCCATGAAGTTAGGCCTTGAGGCTTGGGCAGCCGCCCAGCACCTAAGCACCAACCTCCCAACAGGGGAGTGGCAGGAACAAGTCTACTCCAGTTCTGAGCATGCTCATGGGTTCCGATATAGCCAATCCCTCTTACTATGATGTTTACTGTACTGATTGGCCACCACAGAACCACTGTCAGAATGATACTGCTCCAGCACAGTACTCTGTCACAGCAAAGCTTGGTGGATGAAGCACATAGACGACTCATGAGCACACACTACTGGTGGAAAGTAATATCTAATTTGAAAACCTGAATAACACTGCTATATTACAGGGGGTGTTAGGGAGTAGACCCCTACACAATTTCAGAGAAGAGCCTGTACAACTGTGCAAGACTAAAGGCTGCAGTTCAGCTTTATTGCCAAAGTGTCAAAGTATAAGTAAACCCAAAAACAGAAACCTCATATAATCTTTAACATTATAACAACATTTCAATAGTATTAAATCTGCAGCTTTCATTAAAATAATACTTAGTGATCTTGCCATGCAGGTCCCTGTTCAGGCTCTTCTTGTTAAGGGGTGACAATGCTGTGTCCCTGTCTTCAAACAACTCTACTGCATTGTCACCCTACTACATGTTCTTCTTGCGGAGACTATAAGCAGCCGTACCAACACTAAGGGGGTTATTCACAAAAGGGTGAAGAGTTTGGAGAAGGCAGGAGAAGTGAACAATCTAGGACAACATAGCTGAACTGTAAAAATTCTCAAATTCAGCTCACTTTCCAGTTCAGCTTTGTTTTCCTAGATGGTTCACTTCTCCTGCCTTCTCCAACCTCTTCACCCTTTAGTAAATAACCCCCTAAATCTGTTGGTATGGTCCATTATTGTCACAGCCAGGAAACTTGCTCTGAGCAATGACATGCAGCAGCTGCTAAAGAGCATGTTTATAGATAGGAAACAAAGATCGGCAGCACCTAATGTAAAAAAGAAACAAAACAAAAAAAAAAACAGGTGAAAACAGTTTTATATTTAAATAAAAGATTTGTCAAAAACTTGTCTTTTGTTTTTGTTTTTACAATTAAAGGATTTTTTCGAAAGCGTGGCGTTTTTTTTACAATTTGAATTTAACACTTTAGTGAATTAGTTATTACTCATTCACAAGGGGAGGGGGGCGCATCTGGGTGCCCCTTTATTAAAGGGGTAACCCGATGTGAATAAGCCCCCCTACCTGCACCCCCACAATCAACGCCCCACGGCTTGTGGGGAAGAGGCCCTTGTCCCCATCAACAGGGGGACAAGGTGCTTTTTCAGGGGCGACCATGGAAAAGCACCCTCCCAGTGCCAAGGGCATGTGGCCCGGTATGGGGGGGGGGCTCCCTCGTCCCCCCCCCCCCTTTCCTGCCCTGCCAGGCTTGTGCTCGGATCAAGGGTCTGGTGAGGAATTTTAAGGGAGACACCATGTTTCCCCCCCCCCCTATTTTGGGGGTTGGGGTTCCTCCTTAAAATTCCTAACAGACCCTAAGGGCTTGGTATGACTTTTCAGGGGGGAACCCCACGCTTTTTTTCTTTTTACTTAAATGGGGTCCCTCTTAACATTCCTATCAGACCTTAAGGATCTGGTATAGGTTGGGTGGGGGAACTGCACGCTTTTTCTTTTTTTCTTTATAAATGTAATTTTTGCTGCGGCAGGTTCTATACATCGTACAGATTTGCCACTTTACAGGCAGTACAAGGGGACCCCCCAGACACGATAGTTAAAGGATGATTTCATTTTTATTGTTTCAATTTAAGCAATGTTAAAATCACTCTTCCTTTAACCACTTGAAGACCAGGTGTTTAGACCCCCTTCCTGGCCAGTCCATTTTTCAGTATTCAGCGCTGCGGTACTTTGATTGACGTTTATTCCATCATGCAACGCTGTACTGAAATTAATTTTATACAATTTTTTAGGGACAGATGGAGCTTTCTTTTGGTGGTATTTAGTCACCACTGGGGTTTTAATTTTTTACTATATTAAGGAAAAATTATTGAAAATTTTGGGGAAATTTTTTTTTTTTTCCATTATATTAGGAAACAATCATTATTACCCATATTTTTGGTAAAATATAAAAGATCGGGTCACATCGGGAAAATAGATACCAAACATGTCATGCTTTAAAATTGCGCAGACATGCGAAATTGCAAAAAACTACCATACCCAAAATTGACCATGGGCGATGCTTTAAAAGCTTTTACAGCTCATCAGTTTAGTGTTATCAGTGATTGATGGCCCTAGAATGATTGCTCTCACTGCGACGTTCGCGACGATATGTAAAATGTGCGGCGTAATGGGCGAAATCGTCGTTTTCGCACGTATGCGATGCGTGACAGCGGGAGGGGGGGAGCCACGGAGGGGGGGGCGCACATCCCGGGACCTCATACAAGCAATCCGCCGGCTCTATAGCCGGCGGATCGCTTGTATATTAACAGGCATCGCTGACGGTTTTCAAATATCGGACATTTCCCGCTTGCGCGCGCCGCCTACAGACGCCCGCTCAGATCTAGAGAGCTCCTGGCCGGCCGTTTTTTTTACATCGGCCGGCTGGGAAGTGGTTAAAAACTGTATTTTTAAAAAGTGTTTTTTTTCATTGATACATGTCTCCCCGGGCAGTACCCGAATCCCCATACCATTTTTATGCCCAATAACTTGCATATATGGCTTCAAAATGGCTACATTTGATTTTCCGGGTTCTGGTCCCATAGACTTTCATTGAGTTCGAAGTTCGAGTTTGAACTCGAACAAAACTCGGGTGTTTTCGGCCCATCACTACTTCTCAGGGGTCTACTCCTCTCTAGAGATCGGGGCCTGTTCAGCGCTGGTAGTGGAAGTGTAGAGTAAAATATTTTTACTCTACAATACCCGTAATGTTTTCTATTGCAGTATGCTTTTGCATTGATTTTGCAATTTGTTATGTTCCTATGCTGCTTTAATAAAATTAAAAAAAACTTTTGTAATAGAACATGTACGGGAAGGTGAAAGAAAATAAAGGAGGGAAGGAAATGTTGGAGATGCAACAGCATATTACTGTTATTCTAATGTGCTGATATGTCTTTTGTGCAACAGATGGCACCGTAGTGCAATGTTACTCTTTATGTGCATGCTTATCTATGATACACAGGAAGTTTTCCTATATGTTTGGTTCCTGCAAATGCTGTATTCAGATGTAATATTCTTCTAAGCAAGTAAAACTTAATTCAGCATTCCTCAAGATCTCAGTGCTTATTCCAAACACATAACCAATAGGAAGGACATGATGGATGGGGAAGTGGCGAAGGAGAATGAAGAGAAGGAGAGATTGGAGGAAAGGCAAAAAGGAAATGATGAAAGGAAAGAAAGGGAGAGAGGTGACAATGGAGGAAGAAAAGAACACAGGGGGTAGGAAGTGAATAAAAGAAAGGGAACGAGGAATGAATCTAGGAATGCATTCAAGTACTTAACAAAAATGTAACTAACTGTAAGTGTATAAGACATGTAAATTTTGTTTTGTTGCGATTTGATATTCATATGAATTTCGCTAAATTTGGACATTCGGTTGCATCTGAATTTCCAAGTTTGAATGAATCAGAATGCGAATGAATCTAAATGTTCATTCAATGAAAATAAAGATGCGTCTGATTTTGGTTCAAAGTGAAACTAAATCGGACAAGTGACTATTTTTTGGCCAATCAGATTTTTTGGGGCTGTTTGGGGCAGCATTATAAGCACAGTCATGTGACTTCCTTTGTGGATCATTCCAAAACAAAAATTTGGACGGATACAAAGTCCGAATAACGACCTGAATCGAATTTTGTATCCGAAGTCCGTAAAATGAAAAAAAAAAAAATCTGAATCGATTGGAAGTGAAACCAATTTTTTGCGGGGCTACATGTCTATTGTGTATCACTCGGCTGTAGATCATCAAATCATCCCTCAATTTATGCTGACACCGTCCTTCCTTCTGGAGGGTGACTACTTTTGTTCCCCATGGTCACTCTGTTTGTTGTTGTAAAGTAGTCACCGATCCAAACTCGCTCCCGTGATGGACTATAATCTCATGTTTAGTTTACTAATTTGTATTGAGATTGTAGTCCATCACAGGAGCAAGCTTGGAGCGGTGACCACTTTACAACACATAGGGACCATGGTGAACAAAAGTAGCTACCCCCTAGAAGGAAGGACGGTGTCAGCACAAATTCTGAGATGATTGGAGGATGTACAGCTGAGTGATACACACATAAGATACAATTCTGTTAATAGTTAGGGTACTTGAATGCATTTTTAAGATTGAACTCCTGAGTTTAGTGTCACTTTAAAAGCCTTTTAACTTTAATATAACTTAAAGGTCAGGGACTGTATGTAAAGTGCTGTGTAAATTGTTAGTACTATAAAAATGCCTGTAATAAATATATATTTAGGACTTTTTGATTGTTTTATATATTGAGTTTATTAGGTCAGTATACCGTATCCCAAGGAGTGGGCATAGCCTGTAGGCTGCAGTTTATCTCTCGGACACTAGATGGCGGTGCAGTACATGAGCGGTGGCGGCGGCGGCGTCCATCAATGGTTTTCTGCACATGTGCACAGGCTGTGAAAAGAAAGGGACAGACTCACAGGAAATCAGTGAGAATGCAAATACAAAGTGCGTGTGGGAGTGAGACACACAGAGGGAGAGGGAAATGTCTGGCCTGAGCTGTAACAAAAGCCACAAGATTGCAGGCATGGAGCGGCAGGCTGCACAGGTCCGGGGAGGATAATTGAACTTATAGGGATCAGAGTGGGGAGCGGAGGACACATCTGCTCCGGCCAGGATCACCATCACACACCTTGTCTGGAGATCCACAATGTTTTCCATGAAACAAGCCAAGCCTACGTTCAGATCGTACCTTCTGCCTCCACAGGTATGCGATCATAGAGCAGCAGATTGGGGTGCTGAATATTGGGGTGCAGGGAGGCCTGTGCATTCTTCTACAAGTGTCACTGGAAGTTTGCATGGACTTTGTGCATAGCAGAGTGTGCTGTGTGTATATATGGGGAGGGAGTGTGCTGTGTGCACATGTCTTTAATCTCAGCATGCACACATACATAGATCTGGATCATGGAGAATGTGTTGTGTCTGTTTCAGCATGAAGATAAACTCAGCCCAGAGACCAAGATCAAGAAGCTGAAGCCGATCCTGCTGCCAGGTAAGCAGTAGAAGTGTGCAAGCACGGGGAAAAGCCTGTTCGCTCAGTGTATTTATTTTCTGGCTGTCACTGTGTTTCATTTATGTGCAATCATTTTCACCCAGAGGTGATGTCTTTTTAAAGCTGAGCTCCAGGATAAGCAAATATTGTCTAAATATAATGTGTGACCCTGCTTGTATCCCGGTGTGCTTTGTGTAATTGTTAAAGGTTTTGCCATTTAAACCAGCATAAAACGTTGCCTGTAATAAAGACCAGTCACTGTTGGCCTCTCTCCTTTGTGCATGGTGATTGGTCTTGTATCCGCCCCCTCCTGTAGTTTTCTGCAGGCAGCCTGCAGTGGGTGGAGCCTGCTGGGCCCCTCCCACAGCTCTGCTCTCTGTACAGGCTATGTGCAGCACAGTGATGGTTTCATTGCTACTTTTACAAGGTAATATTGGGCCTTGTAAAGGCATTTGTTGTAAACAAAGTGGATTTGCATCCTTTGTGGCTAGTGAGGAAGAGATGTGAATGAAAGTTCTTGTGCCAAGAGATCAACTTTAGAAGTGAAATACTAAGAAAATGGGGAAGCGGATACACCGGCTTGCCACAAAATCGAGCACATCTTGTTATTTCAGGAAGCTAAATGTATATAGACGATATGGAATAAGGTGACAGCTATGCAGGGTACGTGTTTGTAATGTTTCGTATGTCTTGGTATAAACTCCAGCCTGCCAATACATGTACTCTGATCAGCTATAACATTATGACCACTGAGAGGAGAAGTGAAGAACATTGATTATCTCATTACAATGGCACCTGGAAGTGGGTGGGATATATTAGTCAGCAAGTGAACATATTGTCCCTGAAATTGATGTGTTGGAACCAGAAAAAATGGGCAAACGTAAGGATTTGAGCGACTTTGACAAGGGCCAAATTGTGATGGCTAGACGTCTGGGTCAGAGCAACTCCAAAACTGCCGCTCTTGTGGGATGTTCCTGATCTGTAGTTGTCAGGACCTTCCAAAAGTGTTTCAAAGAGGGAAAACTGATGAACCGGCCACAAGGTTATGGGATGTCAAGGCTCATTGATGCACTTGGGGAGTGAAGGCTGGACCGTGCAGTCCAATCCAATAGAAGAGCTACTGCAGCTCATTGCTGAAAAAGTTAATGCTGGTACTGATAGAAAGATGTCTGAGCACACAGAGCATCACAGTTTGCTGCATAAGGGGCTGCATGGCCACAGACCAGTCAGGGTGTCTGTTGTCCACTGCCGAAGCTCCCCTACAAAGGGCACGTGAGCATAAGTACTGGACCTTGGAGCAATGGAAGAAGGTGGTCTGTTAAATATTTTCTTTTATATCATGTGGATGGCCAGATGCATGTGTGGCCTTCCTGGGGAGGAGATGGCACCAGGATGCACTACGGGAAGAAGGCAAGCCGGCAGAGGCTGTTTGATGCTTTTGGACCTGTGAAACCTTGGCTCCTGCCATTCATGTGCATGTTACTTTGACACATACCGCCTACCTAAGTATTGTTGCTGACCATGTACATCCCTTCATGGAAACGCTATTCCTTGGTGGCAGTGGCTTCTTTCAGCAGGTTAATGCCACACTACAAAAATTGTTCGAGAATGGTTTGGGGAACACAACAATGAGTTTGAGATGTTGACTTCAAATTCTCCAGAGCTCAATCCAATTGAGCATCTGTGCGCTGTACTGGAATCGGATCCATGGAGGCCGCACCTCACAATTTACAGGACTTAAAGTGACGGTAAAGTCAGTTTTTTCCCCCTTCCCAATCCTGTTGTTAAGACTTACCTTAACCAGTTGACATCCGCGGTGTTAAACCCCCTTCCCATCCAGGCCATTTTTCAGTATTCAGCGCTGCGGTACTTTGACTGACATTTATTCCGTCATGCAGCGCTGTACTGAAATGAATTTTATACCCTTTTTTGGGGACAGATAGAGCTTTCTTTTGGTGGTATTTATTCACCACTGGGGGTTTTATTTTTTTACTATATTAAGGAAAAATTACCGAAATTTAAAAAAAAAAACAGTTTCCCCTATATTAAATGATAAAACATTTATTATTACCCAATTTTTTGGTAAAATATAAAAGATGGGGTCACGTCGGGTAAAAAGACACTAAACATGTCAAGCCTTAAAATTGCGTGCGCGCGCGAAACCTCAAAAAACGATAATACCCAAAATTGGCCATAGGCGACGCTTTAAAAGCTGTTACCGCTCATCAGTTTAGTGTTATCAGTGATTGATGGCCCTAAAATGATTGCTCTCACTGCGACGTTCGCGGCGATATGTAACATGTGTAGCGCAATTGTAATTTTTGCGCGCTGGGGCACCGGACGCGTATTTACGTTTATAGGCGCGTAAACGTGGGGGTGGGGGAGTTAAACATTTTGGGGGTTTTTTTTCCCCCTTTTTTCATGTGACTTTTATTTTATTTTACTTTTTTATGTGTAACTTTTTTGTTTATTTTATTTTTTTGCACTTATTGTTATTGCTATTATATGGGGGGGATAACAATCCCCCTATATAATAGCAAAGGCACACTGACAGGTCCTCTTTATGGAGACATTAGGGGTCTCTAGGACCCCTAATGTCACCTGTGGACCCCAAAAGAAGCTGATGCTGCAGAGATCTGCTTTATCAGCTTCTTCTCTCTGGCTATAGCAGCCAGATGACTGACAGGTGAATGCGGAAGTGATGTCATACACATCACTTCTGCATTCACAGCCCGGACGGGGATCAGCAAGGTGCCGTGGACCCCAAAAGAAGCTGATGAAGCTGATGGTGCCGCGAACGAGCACATATAGGCGATCGGCGTGCTATGGACCCGCTGATCGCCTATATGTGAAACACCCGGTAACGGGTGTGTGCAACGGTCGGGTCTTTTCTGCCCGTGCGTGCCCGCTAGGGGGCGCGCGCGAGCAGAAAAAAATTGCCGTCTGGAGACGGCAACCCGCCAATGCTGCAGTGCCGTCCGTCCGTTTTTTTACTACGGGCGGACGGCAAGAGGTTAAATGATGTCTCTTAATCCGATCTTCTTCTTTACCGTCCTTTTCAGCTGTCCCTCCAGCACTGGTGCGGGTCTCCGATCCAGCGCTGACTCCTCTGCCCTCCTCTTCTCTGATGTCCCACGGTGTGTGTGTGTGGGTGCCTGCTGCTCCATAGACTTACCTTGTGTCTCTCCTCGTCTCCCGGCCAAACATCTGAACTGTGCATGCAGTTCGGACGGGAGCACGTGGTGAAGACACAAGGGGTGTTTAAAAAAAATAAATGTTTTTGCATATATCTACTGCTTGCTGGCAGTAGATATATGCAAAAACATGAATGGGTTTTTAAACCCTTTAAAGGAGAACTATGAGGTGAGTGCTTTTCACTCACCTCATAGTTCTAGCCGACCTGTGACAATGAAACTGTCACAGGTCAGCTCAGTAGATCGGGAAGTGAGCGAACACATACTGGCGTTCACTCACTTCTCGATCCTGTCACGGCACTCTGGCGTGACGGGAGGGGCTGGATTCCCCGCTCCGATCCTCCAGCTCTGACTGGCGGAACGGATGGGGGAGGGGCGGGTACAGTGGTAGCTCGCGGTATACTGAGCTTAGGGTGACGGGAGGATGCTAGTTTGTGTCCTCCCGTTACCCTAAGGAGAACTATGGGGAAAAGCCCTAACCCCATAGTCTCCTTTAAAGGATCTGCTACTGACGGCTTGGTACTAGATACCACAGCATAACTTCAGAGGTCTAGTGGAGTCCATTCCTTGATGGGTCAGGGCTGTTTTGGCAGTAAAAGGGGACCTGCTCAATATTAGGCAGGTGGTCATAATGTTGTGGCTGATCGGTGTATGTATGTGTACAGCCTATTACTAGCCCGCAGGTACCATATGGATTGTATTCTTTCCTTAAAGTGGACCTCCAGGACACGCAGTCCCATGTGTGGTTGGCAGCTACATTGAACTTGCAGTACTGAATCTTACTGTCCTGGCTCTATTACAGAGATGATAGTAAGTCCCTCACTCGGCCGGTCAACAATTCACAAAACGTCTTGTATTTTTTTTTTTTTTTTACACAGAATATATTGCATTCTGTGAATGGACAATGGAGATCATGTGGTTTACTCTCCCCACATGATTTCCCTTGTCCAGGAATGCCTTGTTTTTTTTTTTTATTCACACAGAATACAAGATGTTTTGTAAATGACTGAGGTGCAGAGTGAGTGACAAACTATCATCTCTGTGCTAGCGCCAGGAGCTGTGGCACTTAAAGAAAGGGTTGGGGTGCACAGAAATGTTTGTTTTATCTAATTCAGCAGCCAGCTACAGATGGGACACCCATCATTAGAGGTATGTGTGTGTTGTAAAGTACCCATGGCTCCTAGCTCACTCCCGGGATGGACTACAATCTCACGTTTTCTTTACTTATTTGTATTGAGATTGTAGTCCATCACGGGGGGGGGGGGGGGGGGGGATTACACTGGTAAATAGATGGCTGCCAGGAGTCCGTTTATTGGGGGCCGCAGCTAGTGCTGTAAGGCATACATCACTGGCAGTAAAAGGGTTGCAAAGACCCTGTCACCAGGCCCTTCATTTCATCAACAGTCTTCCTATAAAAAAAAAAATAGAAGTGCATTTAATGTACTTTAGACATGTTATTTACCTCCCCTGTGTAGACCCTGAAAAGCCCTAAGACTGCTGCTGGGTACTGCCATCTTATAGCGGAACTATAATCACTTTTTGCAGGCCGGCTAGAGGGATGTGTGTGTACACTGCCGGAGCTGTCACTGTTAATGTTTTACTTTTTTAACTTTATCATTAGTGTACAATGTGTGCACTCTGTTTAGGTCCACACACCGAATGGCGGTGCACTGCCCTTCACACCCACGTGGTGGTGTAAATGGGGCACATAGAAAACAATTATTTTCTATGTGCCCCAGCGATGTGCAGAAAAACGCAGGTCACTGCTATATAGGGCTGCAACAACTAATCGATTATGAGATAGTT